TTTGGAATCGTTCCATTCATTTAAAATTCATTTTAAATGAATGGAAGTTTTTCTTTCATTAATTTAAAATGAATTTTAAATTAATGAAAAATTGAATGTGAATTCAATCAAGCACCTAGCAATATGCGTAAGATATTTTTCAGAAAAAGAAACAGATTGTCTATGATTTTCTTATCCTTATTCGCGTGATCTCAACAACTGACAAAGATCTCTTCAATGATTTGAATTATAATCTTGACTCCATTAGATTAACTTATAAAAACGGATACAGTTCAGATGGTGCTTCAAATGTTATTGGCATACATAACTCAGTCTGGTCTCGAGTTCTGACAAAATCGCCTTACTGTATTATGATGAGGTGCATTTGTCACTCTCTAAATCATGTGGTGCAATATGTTTTTAATGCAATTCCATCTTCAGTTGGCTATCTTCTGAGCGAATTTCCACGTTTTTTTAACAAGAGCATTATTTGTTGAAACGACAATGAAAAACTATTTGAACTCATGAATTCAAACAATGAACGCGTGGAAACCCCATCCACTTTTAAAAAGTTTTCTGCCACTTGTTGGTTGGTTCGAGGAAAGTGTTTTTATAACTTGCTTGTGAATTGGCAAGAACTAAAAGCATTCTTTATTTGTGTTGAAATGAATGCAAACTTTTAAGTCCGTTACAAAATCTCTTCAATAAGCAAAAGGTTCCACGACAGCACCCTTTACCTCTATGTTGTTTTTACATTTAAGGCTAATCTCCACATGCAAAATTGAATGCAGAAGAATCAGTCAAAATGTAAAAATTCGCTGTCATGATTTTCTTCAGAGAGCTATAATGGAGCTTGAAAAAAGACTTCCAGAGAACAGATCAATTTTTGGCGGCTTGTCAAATCTGTCTCCAATGAAAGTTCTTTCCCAAGTTGAAAAGGTTCCATATTCTATGAATGTATGTATGTATATATGAATGTATGTATGTATGTATGTAAAATTTTAAATTTTTAGACCATTGAATTTAAATAAAGATCTATATATTTAAAAAAAAATAGTTCTTTTATCAAAGTTTTACTACTTTATTGATTTTGTAAAATTAAAGTAGAAAACATTCTATTGCTTTAAAATTCTATTGCTTAAATTATTTACAGCCTGGTTTGTTTAAAGTTTCCTTTTTATTTTTTACACCTGGGGTCAATGTTATAATACTTTTTACCGGCGTAAATTGCTACCGGGGGAAATTTTACTCTTGAATTTTTACAGTCGTAAATTTAGGGTCGTAAAATATTTTTCAATTCAATGTTATAAAACTTTTCTGCATCAAATTTTGTTGATACCAATGCTCTGAATTTATTTTTAGAAATCTATTGTTCGGATCAACAACATTCTTGAGATATAAAATGTTGTCAAAAACAAAGTGTTTTTGAGTTAAAGTTTCAAAACATCATTGTTAAAACTTTAGTTTGTTGAAAAATCTAGTTTTCTCATGGACTTGGGCTGTAACGATTCTGATAAAGAATATTTTGTTACTTCAGAATATTTGACAAATCAGAGACAACCACGAGAAGTAAAACAGTATTTTAACTGTTAAGAATACAATTTAAAAGTAAAAAAATAAAATTTCCATTTATTTTTTACCCTACCCCATAACAAGATTTGTGTAGTTTTTCTATAAAAATATCTTATACTAATTTCTATAAGCATTTTGTTTCTTTAGACTAACAATTGCGATTTAATAAAATGTTCTATATACCTTTTGTTGTTGGAATTCTAAGACCATTTGTTTCAAAATTCTATAGAAAATTGTGTTGATTTAAATATAGAAAATCTGTACACATTTTGTATATTTGTTATTGAAAGAAAAAATAGGAAAAATTGCATAAATAAACTTTTTTAAAAAATGACTTTAAATATAAAATAATTAAAAGAATTATTCAGAAACTCGCTATGTAAATTTTTATAACAAAAATTTATTTAGACACAAATAAACATTTAATCAAAAAACTTTTTTGATGCTTTCTGATTAGAATTTTATCCACAATAAGTTTTGACGTGCTTCCATACCATAGACAATATGAGAAACTTTGAAAACAAGTTGTGCATGATCTCTAAACACTTTCTGAATAAAAAGAAAAATCTTTGATGTATTTTGTTATCTGAATTTATCAAAAATATTTGAGCTCATTCCATATTCGAGCATCAAAAGTTATTTCTAGAACTTTAATAATTCTGTTCATAGTTTGACCACTTGTTTTACTATTTTAAATTTCAAACAACCTCTGCATAAATTTTGAATAGAGAAATTTCTTTTGTCTATACATTTTGAGTTTGTCTAACACTAAAGTTGATCTGATTTTTGGATCAATAAATAGTCCTGATAAATCTAGCACAAGTGTATTTTTCCATACAATAAAACTGTGTACATACATCAACTGACTTAAATATGGAAAACTTACAACAAAATGTACATACATCAACTGGTTTGAATAGGGAAAACATGCAAGGAATGTATATATATTGACTGTCTTAAATAGGGAGAACATGCAGTGAGTGTACATATATTGACTTAGGGTTTCAATTTAACTGGAAACTTATTATTTAAAAAAAAATCTTTTTTAAGTTTTTAAAATTTTTTTGGTTTAGTTTGTTAACATTCTATAATAAACCAGACCAAAAAAAAAAAGTTATTAGAAAAATATTTTTGACCACCAACATGTATTTTTGTGTTCTGTCTGAACCTCTGGTGTGGTGTTCATTCACTTGTAAATTACTTTACATATGTTTATGTTCTATCAAAACCTCTGGTACGTTGTGTGCTCACCTGTAAGTTGCTATATATATATTTTTCAACATCTTCACTTCCAACAAAGCTGCAAGCAACCACTATGGGTTGGAAGTTACTTGAAGAAAAAAAGATCAAGTTTATAGAGCAAGATAATAATTAACAAGTGACTTGAAAGATTGCAAACTATATGAATCAGGAAAACAAGGTGAAGGCAGAAAAAATTTTATTATGCATTAGATGGAACCAGAGAGACTAGGGCTATTATTTTTGACATATCTAAAATTTCAACAAAGCTTGGCATGCTGGTCTTCTCCATAAGCTTGCTTCATATGATGTATCTGGGAAAGTTTTTGAGGTTATCAAATTTTTCTTTCTAACCACCTTATTAAAATCATCCTTGGCCAACACTCTTCTTCATTCCTAGTAACTTCTGGGATGCCTCAAGGTTTTATCCTTGGTTCTATTTTGTTTCTTATTTACATTAATGATCTTTCCAACAACCTTACATCTAAAGTAGCTCTTTTTGGAAATGACTCAACTTTATACTACTGTTTTGACAAAAAATCTTCTCTTTTTGATTGCTTAGAACAGATAGCTGATCTTGAATCTGATCTCACTTCTGTAACAGATTGAGGCTTGCAGTGGCTTGTTAACTTTAACTCCAACAAAAGTTATTTACTGCAAACAACTAATATAATACTGTTGACATTCCTATATTAATGAATGGCAACCCTTTCATTAAGCCCTCTTCTTTATGTCTTCTTGGATTATTGTTTACTACTGACCTTTCATAAAAACCATGTATAATTGATTGCTAAATTAGCAACCGCTAAGGCTGCTTCTCTTTATTATGCTTGCTATTTTTTTTTTCTCTCCTGATTCTATTCTCTACCACTACAAATCACTTATTTGCCACTTTATAGAATACTGTTGTCATGGGTGATTCTTCTAATGATGCTCTTTCTCTTTTATACAAAGTCTGAAAGTGTAAAGGTAGTTGGATCAGTTCTATCTGCCAAGCTTGAACCTTTCTCCAGAAACAAAGGATCCATGGTTCAATCCCATCTCTATGCAAGTTTTGCGACATTAGTTAGGATGGTGGTATGACCTTCCTATTAAATGCTCATCCGCGGTGCTCTGTGATAAGACTGTAAGGACTTCTTGGAACATCTAAATAAAATTAAAAAAAATTAGTAACTCTGGTTGTTAGCCTATGTGATATAGTGCAATAAAAATCAATATCCAGGAACATTATGCTTGAAAATATTTGTCTTATAAATCAAAATGATCATATTTAAAGTTTTATTTTTCAAGGTCATGTAATTTTTTTTCATGTTTTTTATGGAAAACAGTATTTATTAAAAAAATTTATACTGGCAGCAAAAAACAAAGAAAGTTTGATTGTCTTGAAGGAAAAAAAAAGTTTAATTGAAAAAAAATTTCATAAAATCAATTAAAAAACATTGTTTTAGAAATACAAAGTTTTAGTTTATCTAATTCTTATTTTGTTCTTTTTTCTTAAACTTTTTATCTTAGCTATCATTTTTGTGGTAACATTACCTGACATCTTGTTTATCTCCTTTTCTACTTCAAACATCACATTCTGCTTTGATTTGCTTGTTTTAATATTATCCCGAATAAAGAGATTATTTCCTTATTTGCTACCTAGATGTTTTTCACAAACTGAAAAAATTTCTGCAGTTCTCCAAATCATTCTTGTAACCAGAATCTCCCTTGACCCATTCATTAAAATCTTCCTTGAACTATTAATTAACATCTTCCTCGACCCATTCATTAACACCTTCCTTGACTCATTCATTAACATTTTTCTTAACAGTACCAACAATTTCAAAAAATATCAGCTTTATAGAGTAGTAAGGTCATGATAATTTGTTACATCAGCATTGTTACATTTTGTACATAACAGTTCCCTCTTTTTCCACTGTTAATATCTTGTGTGTATCTTTTTTCCAATGTTAGTATCTTGTGTGTATCACTTAACTTGTTTCTTTGGCAACCTTATTTGTCAAGGTTTGTGTTTTGGAACTTTAGGTTTGAGAGAGAACAACAACAACAAAAAGTGATACTGAAGTGAATACAGTTCAAAAATAAAAGTTGTGTAACTTTTGCTATATAAAGATTTTTAAGCTGTATTAAGTTAGACTATGTTAGATCTGTTTTAATAATTAAATATCTCTTAATTTATTGTTTTGAATAATTTTCTATTGATTCAGGATGCTTTATTTGCTGGACCATTAGAGTTTCAAATAAAAACTCTTCAAAACCAAATTGAAGTTAAAGTCAATGAATCTTTAGAATTACAGCAATATTGGTTAAGACAACAAGGAGAACTGGTAAAAGTTTTGAAAACTATTGACAAGCAATCTAAAGATGTGGATTTTAAGAAAAAGCAATTAACTGTAATAATGCAGAAAAAAATAAGACTTGAAGGTATTATGCACTGTTGTTTGTATCAATTATTTAACTATTATTTTAACAAATAATTTGTATTACTGTTTATAACTTTTATGTTTTAGCTTAATAATTTGTTTATGTCTTAATTTGAATAGGTGAAATAGACTCACAAAAGCAAGAAATTAAAGATATTGAAAGAAGTGTATTGAACATGCAAAAAGACATGACCAAACTTAATATACTAATTTACAATAATAAAGATAAAAAAGAAACTTTACAGCAAGATAATATTTTGCTAGAAAATCATTTCCGTTCTAAACTTAAGGTAAAATAGTTTAATTTTCTTTTTTAACATTTTTTTTTTACCATATTTTTACATATTTATATTTAGCCATATTTTTATATATTTCAAACATATTTTTGTATTTATTTTGTATACATATATTTAGCCCTATTTTTAGCCTGACAATATTTTTAAACAAAATATTATTATGCAATTTTTTGTTATTTATTACTTTTAAATTTATCTTAAATTTGGAGTTTACATTTTATTAAAACAGTATTAATACATTTGAAAAAGTACAACAAAAAGTAATGAAAATTCTTGAAAAAATTAATAAAAAAATTTGAACCTCCAAGAGACCAAGGAAAATGGTTCACCTAAATGAATATTAAACATAAGCGAAGTAAAACAATTGTTCTTGCTTTCAAGGGACTATAGAAAATAGTTTGAGATAAAAAAAGTTTGAGTTAACCAGTGTTCAACTTACTGGAAATTAACTGTATATGAAATTATTAAAAAAAGTTTGAGTTAACCAGTGTTCAACTTACTGGAAATTAACTGTATATGAAATTATTAAAAAAAGTTTGAGTTAACCAGTGTTCAACTTACTGGAAATTAACTGTATATGAAATTATTAAAAAAAGTTTGAGTTAACCAGTGTTCAACTTACTGGAAATTAACTGCATATGAAATTATTTAAAAAAGTTTGAGTTAACCAGTGTTCAACTTACTGGAAATTAACTGTATATGAAATTATTAAAAAAAGTTTGAGTTAACCAGTGTTCAACTTACTGGAAATTAACTGTATATGAAATTATTAAAAAAAGTTTGAGTTAACCAGTGTTCAACTTACTGGAAATTAACTGCATATGAAATTATTTAAAAAAGTTTGAGTTAACCAGTGTTCAACTTACTGGAAATTAACTGTATATGAAATTATTAAAAAAAGTTTGAGTTAACCAGTGTTCAACTTACTGGAAATTAGCTGAAATTATTAAATATCTAGACTAAATTAGAATATTTTTTTTTATTTCTTTTTTTTTTTTTTCAATTTTTGTTTATTATTTGTACATACAATGACTGACTTGAAAATACAGGGAGTGTACATTAGGGTGTTGGCTTTTTGGCAAATTTTTGGTATCTCCAGTTTCCAATATAAAAAACAAATGAGTTTTGGTTTGAAAGTAACTGAAAAGTCATTGGTTTTATTTAATTTTTGAAAAAAGATCACCCACCATGACCCTTGATTACACGCTGACTTCCATATATCAGCAAATTTTTTTTCTTTGAAAGTATATCAACCTGGGTCTCAAAAAAAACAAAATTTTATATTGATTTCAAAATTCATAATCTTTTCTACTTAAACATTTAAAAAAAAAAAAATTGCAAATAAAATGTCATAAAAACGACCTTTTTAATTTTTAATTAAAAATTGTTGTTGTTTTTTTTATAAAATTTAAACAACTCATTACTATTTCTGAAATCTCTATGAAATTCTGGTTCTTTTGAGACTCAGGTTGATATACTTTTTAAGAAAAAAAAATTCACTGATATATGGAAGCCAGTGTGTAATCAAAGGTAATGGTTGGTGACTTTTTTCAAAAAAATTAAATAAAACCAATGACTTTTCAGTTACTTTCAAACCAAAGTTCATCTGCTTTTTATATTAGAAACTTTATTTTAAAAAATTCATAAACCTAGTGTACATACATTGACTCGCTTAAATAGGAAGAACGTACAGGGAGTGTACATACATAACAAATTCTGGAGAGCAATCTGACTTGTCTAACTACCATCTCATTAGTCTTCTTACTATCATAACCAAGGTTTTTAAATCTTTAATTAACAAACATTTAATATCTTCTCTTGACTCTAATAACTTACTTTCTGATTATCAATATGGGCTGATAGGTTTTATCGTGCATTAGATAGATGTGAAGAGGCTAAGGCTTTTGCTTTTGGCATTTCTAAAGCTTTTGATAAAGTTTGGCATGCTGGTCTTCTCCATAAACTCTTTTCTTATAGTGTATCAGGTAACATCTTTAAGATTATTGAATTTTTTCTCACCAATCATATTATAAAAGTTGTCCTCGATAGACAGCACTCTTCTTCATGCCCTGTAACTTCAGGTGTTTCTCAAGGTTCTATCCTTGGCCCTATACTTTTTTTAATTAACATTAATGATCTCCCAGAAATTCTCACATCTAAGGTGCCATTGTTCGCTGATGATGTTACCATTTATTCTTGTCTTGATAAGAAGCCAACACTTTCTGATTGCTTGCAGGGGGCATTTGAACAAGAAAAGGATCTCACTTCTGCTACAGCATGGGGCTCTCAGTGGCTGTTGAACATTAACTCAGATAAAACTCAATTTTTTTCAGCTAATCATTATCACAATCATCTAGATCTTCTTATATTCTTGAACGGTAATCTACTAGATCAGTCATCTTCCATTTATCTTTTAGGATTAATTCTTACTTCCAATCTTTCTTGGAAACCATTATCAAAATCTTTGTAAAATTAGCATCTGCTATAGTTGCTTCTTTTTATTGTACGCACCACTTTCTTACTTTGGATTCTATTGTTTATCTTTATAAATCTCAAATTTATTCTTGTATTAAATCTTCCAATGATGCCCTTTCTCTTTTAGACAAGGTGCAAAAACGCATTGTAAACATAGTTGGACTTGCACATGCAGCCAACCTTTGACAATTGTCACATTGTCATAATGTTGTTTCTTTTTATTCATTTCTATAAATACTATAATGGGCGCTGCTGTAAAGAGTTGTTACTCGTCATTCAATTAAGTCTCGTTGTTTTACTGTGACTGTTTCTAAGTGCTCCAAAAATTCATATTCATCTAGTTTTTTTCCTCAAACATCAATCCTTTGGAATTTGCTCTGTTTTCCTGATTCATATAATTTGCTTTTAAGTTATCTGTTAATCATTATTTTGCTCAATAAATTTCATCTTTTCTCTTCCAGTAACTTTCAACTCTAATAGTAGTTGCTGACAGTCTTGTTCGAAGTAAAGATGTTAAAAGAAAAAAAAAAAAAACTATAACCCTTAAACTGATGTACACTCTCTACATGTTTTCCCTATTTAAGTCAGTTGATTTACTCCTTCATAAAATAAATTAAATAATGTTGCACAATACAAAAGAATGCATCATTCATAATGCAAAATATCATTCCGCATAGCAAAATATTAAAATTCACAATCAAAAACAGCAAGATTTTATAACAATGCAAAATATCAAACAAAATAAAAAATTTTAATTTTATGAGGAAAAATATTAAGATTTGTTGACATTATTATTATTGTTATTGTTGATAATATTATTATTGTTGTTGTTGTTGTTGTTGTTACATCCGTAAATAAGAACAATATTTCAATTCTTGCTAAATATTTTTTTTTCTCAAACTAATGCATGTAAGAATATGCAGGCCATGTGATGAAACGAGAGAGATTGCTCTGCACACATTAAACACGCCCATTAATGGACTTCTGGGCACAACAAATAGCCCTCACCTATTTTGTCATGAGTGTAAAATATCGCACTCGTCAGAAGAACTTATAAGGGACAATGTTATAAGTTGATTTTATAGAAAAAAATTTTGGTAAAATTTTTTTGCTGAAGTCAAAATATGTTTAATTAAACAGTAGAGTTTGCATATTGTTAAATAATTCCAACGAAGTTATATTTGTTATAAAGTACATCACGCATAAATTAAAATTAAAAATCTCAGTGCTAGAGAGCCAATGATTTATTTCTTCTATTTAAAAGTTTAACTCAACATGATGTTTTTTTAAATTCTTGTTGAACTTCATCATATCATCCCTTAATCATACCCTGGTTAAGTCGAACTATTACCTAACTTGCACAGTTTTTTTGGGTGACAAAAAACTTAGTTTAACTAGGAATTTTACTTTGATTTTCATTAAAGTCTATCACAGATTGATTCTAAGGGTTTTAGGTTGAAATTCAAAAGACATGAGGTTTTTCTTCAGATTCTATTAATATGTATATGTACGAGCTGGAATGTGTTAAAAATAAAATCAAAAGCGTTTTTTCTTAGTCCAAAATTGTTATTTTCCAAAATCTAGAAAATAGTGCTTAAAAAACAATATCATTTTTATTAATTAGACAATATCATTTTTATTAATTATTAATTATCTCTCATTACAAAAATCATAGAAACAAAGATAATTGATGACCATCAATTATCTTTGTCTTCAAAATGTGGTTAATTTAATACATAGTACCTTAGTTGCTGCTAGAATTACTATTTTTGGGTCTGTTATATACATTACATGTTTCAAAGCAAAATAAATTTTATAAAAAACTTTTTTTTTAAATTAAACAATAACATTATATATATTATATAAATAAGTTAAAAAATTTGAATTTGATTAGTTAAAATTCTCATAAGAGCTCTAGGTGAAAGCAACTTTTTTAAACTTCAATCCATGGTTTTTGTTAATCTCTGCAACAGCATAGCGCTTCAATATTTTTGTTAAATTTTTATGTACAGCTTCGGATGTTTGCTCTGAAAAAAGTTCAAGAGCTTTATGATTCCTATTGAGAAAGTCTACAAGGTGGTATTTAATAAAATGGAACTTCCGACCATGTGACAATGTTTCAGCAGATTCAATAAACTGCAAGATATCTTTACTGTATGAAGGTTTTAGCATCATGCCTAAACAACTTTTTGCAACTTAAATATTATAAGTATATGATTAGAATATATATATATATATATATATATATATATATATATATATATATATATATATATATATATATATATATATATATATATTAGTAGAAAATTACAGGAAGTTTACACATTTGTGGAATTTGCTGACTCTATTATAAAAAGAATTCTTTAGAAATGATTACTTATGCTTTTTTTTATAAAAAATATTTTTAAAAAAGGGGGGGATTTAATGTAACTATTATTTGAGCTCACTTATTTTTATAGTTTTTTAGGAGAAACTTATTTTTGTGCCTGCATTTAGAAATCAATTCTGATTTTTTG